AAGATGGTGGACATGGGTGAGTTTAGCTTCTAGGTGTCTAAAGATGGTGGACATGGGTGAGTTTAGCTTGCAGGTGTCTAAAGATGGTGGACATGGGTGAGTTTAGCTGAAGAAGATGGTGGACATGGGTGAGTTTAGCTTGCAGGTGTCTAAAGATGGTGGACATCATGTGACTCCACACACCGTCTTTTTGCAGGAGAGTCGTCCCCCTCCGTCATCAGCTGTCCCTTCTGCCGCCACCAGACCCACGTCCCCGAGGAGGAGGTGAGGGACCCTTCTTCCCTCTTTTCTTCTTCCTCTTTTTCCTCTTCTTCTCCTTCTTATTACTCTTCTTCTCCTCTACTTCTTACTCTTGTTCCCCCTCTACTTATTCTTCCTCTTCTTCTCCTTCTTCTGCTACTTCTTGTTGTTCCTCTCCTTCTTCTTCTTCTGCCTCATCTCTCCTTGCCTCTCCCTCTACTTCTTCCTCTTCTCCTTTTTCCTCCTCCTCTTCTTCTTCTTCAATTCAATTCAATTCAATTCAATTCAATTCAATTCAATTCAATTCAATTCTATTCAGATCAATTTTATTTATATAGCCCCACATCACAACAACAGTTTTCTCACAGCACTTTCCAAACAGAGAAGGTCAGACCCTACTCTGAAGTTAATTACAGAAACCCAACAATTCCCACCATGAGCAAGCACTAGGCGACACAGGCAAGGAAAAACTTCCTTTAACAGGCAGAAACCTCGAGCAGAACAATGGCTCAGGGTGGGCGGCCATCTTCCTTTTCTTCTGCAGGTGTGGCTGATGGAGGACGACCGCCACATCCTTGCCGTCCTGTCCTGTCAGGACCGAGCCCAGCGGGGCAGAGTGGAGCAGTCCGGTGACCCTGAGGTGGTTCTGAGTCCAAACCGGCTCCCTGGTAATAAGCTGCTCATTTCTGAAACGTGTTACAGTGAACCCTCATTTATCGCGGAGGTTACGTTCCAAAAAGAACCCGCGATAAGCGAAATCCGTGAAGTAGAAACCTTTATTTTTTTACAGTTGTTATACAATGAAATACTTCGGATGGCCCGGTATCTGCATCCTCCTCCTCTTCCCTATTACTGTCAGCAAAGGTTTGATACGGTGTTCTAGCTTTTGTGCAGATAACGTTCGTATCCAGCGTGATGTTTTTTTTTTCTGCAGTCATTAATCCACAAAGCTAATGCAGACTCCATCCTCACCACGGACTTGTTGCGGAGGGTTGCAACCCTTTTTGCATCATCATTAAAACGAATTGCTGCTGTCGTCCTAATGTTATTTTCCTCCTTCTTTATGAAACGAACGTAAGATTCA